ATTTGACCTTTCCACCGGCTTATTTCTGACACCCCTTTTGGCTTTTAGTTCTCCTCCACAGGCAATTTGTAAACATTTCATCAGAGATTACACTGCAGTGAATCTCTTGCAAATTAAGTGTGATTTGACCAAGTAAAATGCTATTTCCAGTACTGTTTTAGATTTAGGACAATTAATTGCAGCAATGATAAAATCAAAGGAAGTTGCATGCAGAATGGGAACACTAGAGCAAAGGAATGAACACTATTGCAAATAATGGAGGCCATCATTGCCTGGCAAATGTAGTCAGAATTCTTCTGATCTAGAATCTATCCTGAACAATGCAATTAGTTTGCTTAAATCTTAGTTAAATCAACATATTTTGAAATTGCAGGGGAATCTGACTATTTGCATAATCTTTGTAGCCAATTGATTGTAACAGACTTCCTGTGAAAAAAATATTTTATCTGTCTAAATGCTTCTCCCTTTCTCAAAACACTGGTAATTCTATTGTTCATAAAGCTATTTAATCACCTTAACAAAATCAACGTGGAAAAATGTATGAGGTCTGCCAATGGAAGAATGAGTTAGAAGGAATTGATCTATAGAGAATGTTTTTCTAAGTAACGTTTGTCTCATGACTGTTGTCCTCTGCTAAAAAAAGCCAACCAGCCTACTTAAAATTTCTTTCTAAAGTGAAACAGAAATAACAATAACAACCAATGCACTTTCAAATGTTTCTGTTTGTCAGTCTCATAATTATAGTATCATTATCTGGATTTTATTAAATGTTTTTGCTGTGCCGAAATAATCTTAAAATCATAAGCATACACCTGTGCACAAGGTAAATGACATTATCCAAGGTATATCTATACTTTGTGTGTTTAAATATCAGGTTAAACCAAACAGGCAAAATACTTCTTGTGAGCATATGCCTCTTCAGATGTCAGTATGGTTGCTGATGAATCTTCTGTTGGTATCTTCGCTAAAAATTGCTCTACTGCCAAGTTACACAAAAACATGAAGTCCTACACATGAGATGCAAAAAAACATAAAGGGTTTTTTGGGAATTTGGAGTACTTTTGTGGATTGGGGTGGATTTTTTTGTTGTTGTTGTTTTTTGGGGTTTTTGTTTCTTTCTTTTTGTTTGTTTGTTTGTTTGTTGTTTTTTGTTTTTTTTTGTTTTCTGCAGGATAATTTCTGCTGATTCAGTAAAGCTCTTGCTCTGGGTTGATGGTGTTGAGAATCTGAAAAATCCTTTTGATGGCTCTACTTTGTTCTTTTGTCCCTTCTATCTTCAAATCCAACTAAGTCACTCACGCTTCTGTCTCGTGTGGGGATTTATGGTTAAACAGTGTTTCAGGCTTGGAATTTGGCACATTAGACTCGTGTCCACTTGCATATGGGCAAGAGTAATGAGCTGCCTTTAATACAAGGTGGTCTTCAGACTTTTTAAGGTCTACAAAACAAACCTAAATTGCTTGTTAATTTGAGGGAAGCTGTGTATAGCAAGGCTGTCTGCAATTTTACTGTTTCTTTTAGTAGGGTTGGTTGTGGCCAGGTAAAGAAACATTGCTGCTTCAGGAACATATTTAAATGATCTACTCATTTTTAGAAGCTGCCAGTTGCATAGTCTGTCTTGTGTTTCATGTACATCTAAATGCTTCATTGACTTGTGCCAAGAGATGGAAACTAGCCTGCTTGTTTTAATACATTCCTGATGATTTTGATGGAAAATCTAAATGTGTGAAGAACACAAGATCCTGCCCACTAGCAGCCAAAAGGATACCATTTCACATTTGTTACTCTTGGGAACCAAGGAAAAAACAAACAAACAAAAACCCAAACAAACAAACCCCAAACCCAACAAAACAGTAAGAACAAGCTCTTGAAATTAGAAATAAGCCAAGGAGGAAAAGCTGCAGTTAATGTGAAAGCCATGCATCGAGATCTTCCAATCTTATAGAATCACAGAGCAGCCCAGGCTGGAAAGGATCTTGGAAGGTCCTTTTGTCCAGGCCTTCATGGAAGGGGGAGCCTAGATGAGATTATCCAGTACCCTCAATCTTCTCACACAGCAAAGTTTTCTGGTTCCCCATACCCTGTAAGGGGGAGAGCTGAGCACTGCTTCCTAGCCTGCTTCATCAGATTGTTGTGTCGGTGGTTTTGATCTGGTAGTTATTCTTTTTTTATTGCATGTTTTTATATTAGACTCTTAGCTTTTCTTTGTAATTAGACATCGTGATTATAGTATCCTTTTATATTACACTGGAGTGTTCCTTTAATGCAGAAATCAAATAAACAAAACACTTAAAATACAGAAAAAAATCACAGCAGTAATGCTTGGGTCCGAAGGAGCAAAGAATTGGTAAAAACCAAGTTGTAGTTATTGCTTTTGGCATCAGCAACACAGATCATATTCTTTATTATCCTCCAAATTAGGTTTATTCATTTATTACAATTCAGTCAATGAATTAAATATAAAACAAATCCAGATTTTTAAAGACAGACATGTGTTGCAGTTATACACAACTTTTTTGTTCTTGTTCAAATGTTGAAAAAAAAATTTACTTCTTTGTGTAAATGTTTTGTGAGGAAAGGGTTATGTAGGGTGAGAAGAGAACACTCAGGGCAGAAGAATAAGTAGTAGAGTATTTAATAGCACAGAGCGGGGCCGTGCTGTTCCTCCACACAGTGATCAGCAGTCTAACGCCTTCCCTTTATCTAAGGAACAACACATTTATTCCACGTGGTCCCATCTGGGAGTTTGTTTCAGAACAGTATTACCTTCCTCATGATAAGAATCTCTGCTTGTGAAATTATTTTGGAAAAAGGCCATCTGCTAGGGAAAATAATAATAAAAAAATATGAATCCATGATTCAGATAATAAAACTTTGATTACTGCTCTCTTAGGAGGATGGATGAGGAAGCAACAGTCCAAGGAGCTGTCCCTGGAACATGTTTTAGAACAAGCTGTTGGGGTTGACTGTAATGTCATGCAGAGGGCTGTTGTGTGAGGTACACCACTCAGTTGGCTCCCAGGGAATGAATCAGGTCTCTTTTACCAGCCTTGTCTCCAAGTAGTTCCTGAATGGGGCATGAGTAATGAGGAAAGATTCCTTCCTGATACAAACGCATTCAGCTCTTGGTGGCATCTAGTGGTTGGGATAATAGGGTGTAATAGAACCACTGTTTGTTGTACCCAAGATGGTTCAAACTCAAATGATTTTACAGCACTTCAGTAGCTAATACATCAGTGCTTCAACAGAAGTAGTAGTGCAGAGATGACATCTTATCAGTCAGATGTTAGTCACACCTTCTACAAAATCGCTGATCCCATTCAGCATAGAATTCTGAGTAATAGCAGATTTCAGACCAAGGAATGCTAAAAGTCGAATGAACTCTCAGTTTTACATTGTTTTGAAAACTGGTTTGATTCTCCCAGTTGCTTGAGTATAAATCAGGAATAACTTCTGGAGTGATTGCATTCCAAAGGAAGGTTAGCAAACGAAATAAATCCTCTACTTTGTTGGAGACCTGGGTGGAGGAGGACAATCATCCTTGTAAGTGCTGTGTTTGAAACTGCACAGAAGATGAGATACACCAGCTGTGTTAAAACAAGCCATTTTCATCTCACACATACACCCTGCAATTCTACTTTTTAATTTCTAGGCAATCACACTGCTGGAATCTTTTCCAGCCATTGAGTAAAATATATGTTTGTCTTGCAATTATGTAAATAAGGTAAGTGGTTAAGATTTAGATCTAGAATAATAATGTTAACATCATTGTCCCTTCAATAAACAGCAAGCAAGCTTTGGATGTAATGTTGTTTTTGCTCTGTATGTTCCATGCCACAGAAAAACACAGGCAGACACAGAGATGATGTGGTATTCTTATTGTGTTTAAAACAATATTTAGCACTGTTGCTTGCCTTTTACTTGTGTTTGAAGGAAAGCCCTGCTTCATCAATAGGAATGTGTCAGAATTTTGTAATAAAGCATGCTGTGTAATATATTTAAACACAGTCCAAATTAATTAAAGTGTAGTGGACGTGAAAGATACATACTCAATGTGACATTTCAAATAGGGAGAAAATATGATAATGAGCTATTTCCATGTGTTGCCATCCTTCTGGTTAAATAATACTTCTGTTTTCAATGAAGCCACTGAGCAATAACATTCATTTTTGGAGTTCCACAGCGGTTAGAACTGATTGTATACAGGCTGTAATCATTATCCTAATTCTGCCCAGGAAACCCTCTCTCCCCACCATGGAGAAATTTGGAATAAAAAGTCTCGTTCCAGGAAAAAGAATTTCCAAATAATCCTGGGCACCAGATCAAAATATGAGCTCCAAATCCGTTCCTTTTTCTTAATAAGAATCAGCACTTTGAAAAATGCTGCTCTGCAAGGAAATAATTGCATTAGTCAGCCTCTTGGCACTGGTGTGGGCTGGAGCCTTCTCTTAAAATGAGGCCCAGCCTCGCCCTGCAGTGCATCCAAATCCCCCAAAGATGCAAATAGCCCCAAGACCCTTGGCTTTGTTCTTACAAGCAGAAAACTAAAACATGGTACAAAAGGAGAGAAAGCGACCTGGAAACACAGCCTGTCTAATGCTGGGGCAGCCATGGGTAAGACAGGCATCTTTTTGTGTGCTGAAGAGTAGAAACCAAAATAGGAACTGGAAATAAGAAGTTACTGTTTTCATTATATCCTTTCCTTCTGAAGGATCTGATCACACAGATGCAGGGCCTTTAGCTAATTGTATAGCCCAAAGAACTGGTGATACGTGATTATATATTTGCTTCTTGACAGGATTATAGTGCTTATGATCAGGACAACTCCAATGCTCAGGCCCTGACAAGCACTAGCACAAGATTACTTTCGTTGCTCTGTGCTGGGGAGGTCTTGAATTTAGTCTAGAGAGTAAGCCTATGTGTCTTCCACTTGGAGGATTTTTAGAATCACACCAAAATATCCCTTTTTATTAATGCTCTGGTTATCTGATTTTCATCAGTGAAAAGGCTGTGCACAGCATTGGGGAGGGATGAAAGACAAATTGGATGCATTATTGGATATCAAAAGTGCAACGCTGGAGCCTTGGTCTACAGGAACAGAAACAAGACTTGCCTGGCACTGAGGCATTATCCCTCCAAAAAACAATCTAAACTGACCAACACCCTGGATTCGCCAGAAGGTAGGTGTTGAAGTGTTTTTCACATGCCTGTTTTGTCCTTACATTGTTTAAACTTTAGTTGTCCACATCACCACCACCACAACTATTTCCTTCCCAGCTGCTCCTCAGATAGACCAGTTGTAAGCAATGTAGTAGAGCCTGTAATGTGAACTCTTAAGATTAGCATGGAACAGAATGGACAACTCATCCCTTTGTTCAAAGACTACCAAGAAACAGACATATTTCCCGAAATACAGGAAGAGTATTTCACTTCCAAGATGTCTGTATGCAGAACTTTGCATCTTAGCTCTGACAAGTTCTATTAGATACTCAGTCCCTCAGTGAGGTTGATGAACAGGGCAGGCAGTCAGTGCCCACCCCCGATCCTCCTGCTAATTACTCTGTTGGCAGTGCATTTCAATTGCTCTATATTCCCCCCTCTTTGGGATAGTATTGTACCAGCTGATTTCTGCTATGCAGCTAAAGAGCCAGAAGCAAATGCTCCTTTGTTGGCTGCTATTGACCTAATGGGAAAACACTAGAAGATGTAGCTTTCAGTCATCACCTGAATATAGTACAGGAGGAAGATACTTTAACCTGTTCATGTTAAAACTAAAACAGGACTGTGCATCTGTCAGTAGGGAAAGCATGTGACCTCACTATGCCAAATCAGATCTTGCCAGAGCCCTCACTGCCTGGTAGACTCGTGGATGGAGTCAGGCTTTGTGTGCTCAATCAAGATCATGTGCTCTGTGCATTAAATACCAGACTGTGCTGTGGTTTTCTGCATTTAGATTTATCTCTTCTGCTGCTGGAGTGTTCTAATATTGTGGTCTCAGGTGTTGCAAGATGCCTGAACAAAGAGCCAACCTGCCTTGAAGATAGTTGCTTCAGAAAGAAACATAATGGATAAAGTTCAGATCAAGAGGGTCTAAGTGAACCTTACTGCTCTGGTGTGCACCTGTCTGCCTGGCAGCCTGGCAATGCCCAGCAAACACCCTGAGGGGTAGGAGTGCTGCTGGACAAGGGGTGTCTTGGGGTGTCTTGTCCTGAAGAAGGCAGGGTCATCATCAGGTAAAAAACACATGCTGTGTGTTTGGGACAAATGGGGGATAATGAGCCAATAAAAAACCTTCTGTCACCAAATAAAGAGTAGCTCAGGAAGAATTTGTAAATTGGCAGAGGCATTACAGGCATCGGTGTGAGATGTTTATGGTATTCAGAGTGTGAGAATTTAGTGCTGATCTGAAATGTTCCACCAAGGTGTCTTTTCCAAATGGAAGGTTACACAGTATTTTTAAATGGACATAGTTTTTTGTGTGAGAGACTCTCATCCTTACATTCAGAGTGTGCTCAGTGTGATAAGGGCATGTATGTACCTGTCCTTCTCAGTTTTCTCTTGCTTCCCAGTACCTGGGCCATAAATCTGAGATTTAAGAGATGCATGCCCATTTGCCTGCTGTGATCAGACACTGACAATTCACTACAGCATTTTCTGTATGTTTGTGCTTGTGAACAGGAGCTACACTGTCTCAGGCTGAATGCCAGTTGGCCCTCTGGCTTTGGTAGCTCAGAGATCCCTGCTCTGTACCAAATAGAAAATACAAAAATACTTTTCATGGAGTACTGGGAAAACTAGACTTGCTTTTGATCAATACAGTTATCCCTGGCAGAGGGATGGTGGGAGTTGATTGAACAGCAAGAAGAGAAGATAGTGGGTTGCAAGGCAAACCCAAGAAAGCTGTTTGATGCAGCAAAGGAGAGAGAACTGGGGGAATGATCCAAGAGCAGAAATAACATAGGTAGCAATGTTACTTGGAGGAAGAACCAAAGTGCCAGCTCCACAGATCAACAACTCAGACAAATCAGAAAACTAGCTCAGGAGAGGTTTAGACAGAAGCAACCCAGTTCTCTCGCATCATGCTCCCAGAGTGTGCGAGAATAGCACTGAATTGAATAAGGCCCATGGGAGCACAGAAGGCAACTGTTGATAAAAACCTGTGTGAGAGAGAGACGAGGACCCAGGCAGAGCTGCTGGGCTCAGAAAAGGGAGGATGGAAGAGGGCTCCAAGGGCAGCTGTTCATTTGGAACATCCCAAACATGGGGTAGGATCTAGAGACTGTGGGAAGAGCATAAAATGGGTAAGACTATAAGGAAATAAATCTAGCTGGGAGGGGAATGGGAAGAAATAAGACAAGACCTCTGGTAAGTAAGGGAGGGAGGTGCCATGATATCTACAGAACAGGCAGAAAAGACAGAAGGAGGGGGATTGCCTTTCTAATTATGGGTATCTGTAACTTTCCTGAGATATAATGGGCAGAGGATGACTAACAAATAGCTGAATCACAGAAACCATGTGACTGAAATTCTAAATTCATCTGCTAAGGGGCTTGAATATTCACACAAAGCTTAGAAATTTTCCTCTAATACTATTCTGGTGCAGGTGATCCTAAACCTCCCATACAAAAAAACCCTCCTGTCTGGAAATATCTATCTCAGTAAATTGGTCAATATTCACGTTGGCAGGCAAGTACATTACCTTATTCCTCCATTCCTGGTGGAGAAAACTACTTTTGGCCAACTAAAAAGTTGTCCATTTTAATCCATAGAACCTTCTGCAGGGAGCTTTATATGGAAGGTTGTTTGAGCCTTCACCATAGCAATTTAGTAAATGATGTTGCTTAGAGTCAGAACAGTGTTCTGCCAGCCTTTGTAAGAAAACTTATTGACATTAACTGTCTACTGCTTATAGGATTTTCAAATACTTGCTGTGTCATGAAATAAGGAGAATGAGTGCCCTCTGTTTCAAGGTGCTGACTACTGGAAATCTTTATTTCATGTAACATTAGTGCTGGCAAAAATTGGTAGAACCATCAAAAGAAGTTACTCATGCCTTCCACTCACCCTCCTCCTCCTGTGTGACTTAGATTCAGGAACTGATGTAGGTTAAAATTATCTGTTGTCCTGGCCATAATCTGATTAATCAGGTACAATCATACCTGTCTGAATTATTTCAGAGAATATGTTTAGGGAAAAGACATAAATGTGAAATTCCACCCCCACCCCCTGCCCTACTGCTAAAGAATGGGCTAATTTCTTTTCCTGATAGCAATTACTGAAGAAATACATTCTGATGAAAATCAGGATTAATGTTTCTCCCCAGCTGAGCTGGAGTTTCTGTGTGTACAGTTAGGGAGATTTGGACAGCTTTTGTGAGTACTGTTATATTAATAAAGTTTCCTTCCTTTTGACTTAGCAATCTCTAGTTTACTTGGGATGAGTGAGTTGACTCACTTCTCCCTTACATTTTTGTTATGGGCAAAGAGCAATAAAACAAGCAATCTGGCTACTGAGGGCAAATCTAGAGTAAGCAGGCTTTTAGCCTCAGGTCTAGGACATTAGTCACATGCAAATCGGTGATGATAAATCAATGCCTGGCTCACAAAGCTGCCTAGGAAATCACCAAATGAAAACATGCTTTTTAAAAGTACACAATTAATCCCTCTCACCATAAAGAAACAGTCCCGACTTCCGTGTCTAGCAATATTTTTCAGAGCAGGAGCTGTACTTTTCCACAAGGTTCCCCTGGAAGTTCCAAGGAGTTACATGACTCCTAGTCCTTCATTAGTGCTCTTCCATCCCTTTTTCCTAATAGCCAGAGAGTCTCAGCATCTGATGCTTTTATGAAACAGCAGAGAGGAGGTGGTTCTGATTGTGTTTCTTTGTAAAAATTTTCACTGCCACAATTCCCTGGATGATACACAGTGCTCTGAGCTTCTGCCTGCACAATAACTGGTTTTAAACATTTCTGTTTAATCAAGAGTGAAGTAAATGTCAGAGATTCAATGTTCTAGATCAGCAGTTTCCAACACTGATACATCTTAATCAAGCAATTAGGTGCCTTTTTTTTTTTTCTGTTGTTGTTGTTATTGTTTGGTGTTTTCCATGCTGGAGAAGGGAACAGATTTGCTGCTTTGCTCTGATGACTGCTAGCAGCAGTGTTTGTTGTTAACAGAGACATGTACACCTAACCACCAGTTGGCAGGTGTTAACACTTTGTTACTCGCTATTCCCACATGCTGAGGATTGTGGGAAAGCTGTCAAGCTCTCTGTCTTGTGTAACACTCAGCTTTTACAATAACAACAACAACGACAACAAGCTCTGAACAAATTCAGAAGCTCTGTAGGAATGCAGCGATGCAGCACTAGCAAGGGAAACAATAGGATGGATTCTCCTTGCTTTGGTGGGAGCTAATATGAGGCCTTGTGGAAAGTTTGAGGTATTTCCTTATCTTTGCTTGAAAGCTGGTAGATGGAGACTGAGTGGTTTTTTTTCTTTCTTTCTTTTTTAATTGGTGATATGTCTGATGTTTAGAAGAAACCAAGAATGCGCTGTGTGTGCCCCAGCATTTCTAGTCTGCATCTGACATTTGTACTCAGTACTCATCTGTCTTCAGGAAAGAAAGCCATGAATACAGCATACAAACAGAGAAAATAGCACCGAAAACTATAAGAATGCCTGGGAATGACTTCTTTTTTTTTTTTTTTTTTTTTTTTTTTTTTTTTTTTTTTTTTTTTTTTTTTTTTTTTTTTTTTGGTAGGGGGGTGTGACTGTCAAGTGAGAAATGAGAATTTCTTTTAGTATAGTACAGCCCTTCTGGCAAGCTCAGATGTGCCAAGAAGAAAAGGTCCTCTGTGAGCTTTAAGTATTATTAAAATACTTTTTCTCTGTTGCTTGCTGTCATCCAGGTGCTCAGACATAATCTGCCTTTGCAGCTACAAAGTCATGGTTGAGTAATCCAAAGAATTGATTTATTACTGAAGAAGTGAGTTTTGATGGATTTTTGATTTATATGAAGACAGTAAAGAAGAAGGAGTGGGAGTTGCAAGGCAGCTGCAGCTGGAGTACAAGACAGAAACTCAAAAGAGCAAGTGGGCCAAGCAGTGCGATGGATTAGATGAGCAACCAGTTTATATGGCTGATTTTAATAGCGCTGCACTGCATAATTGTTCC